ATACCTTATCCAAATGTTTCTTGTAAAGGCAAGAGGCAAATGAAATGTTCTACCTTTTTTCCTAAACAGAGTTCGATTATATAAGTTTCTTGATTTAAACAATGATAAATTTATTAAATTAAGGCCATGTGTACGAGTCATACGATATTATTTTATTATTGAAAGACTTTTTTAAAAAAAATCGATATCTGTATCTTACAATGTCGGCGCGCTGTATATATAACCCATTTTTAAGATGACGTAGACAATTTTTTTAGAATATCAAAATAAGAACCGTTATTATAAAAGGTTGATATCAGAAATGATATATATTAAGAGAAAACAACAGTAGGCAACCTAGAAAAGGACACCGAGCGTCTTGACGGTTCTTATTTTATATTCTAAAAAAAAATTGTCTACGTCATCTTAAAAATTGGGTAGATATACAGCGCGCCGACATTGTAAGATACAGATATCGATTTGTTTTTTTAAAAAAGTACACATTGTGATTATGTTAAGTAAAAAGAAATAATTTTTTTAAAAAAAGTGTTATGTTCTGACAAAAAAGTAAGTTAATACTATTTATTAAAAATCTAAATGTAATATTTGAGCGGATATATTAATTTGTTCACAGTGTCGTTACATAATATAACAGCATCTGACGCTCTAACTCATGCCAACAAACATGAATTTTGTACTGCGTTTCGTCATATAATCTCATAATTGTTGTATTTATAATAAGATCAATATGCTAAATTAATTTTTTAACTATTATTAGGATATTGAAAAGACTGTCGTACAGTCGAAACGTTTATCTTAAACTTTTGTATAATATGACGTAAATTAATAAATAAATTTTTCAATTAATGCATAAAGCTCGTTAAGTTGGCCTTTTATTATATCACATATTTAATTGTATACGAGCCGAAGTTTAATTTATAAAATATATATATTTATACATTTTATTTCTCTCGCATTTATTTTATTTTCTCTCGCATTTATTTCTTTAGGGGGAATAGGGGATACATGGAATTAAAAATCTCTTGTAGAGATTATTCTAATTTCATATCTTGGCCGTGTCCAAGTAAATTTGGTGCTTGTGCACAAGGTATTTAATTCTAACGAAAATTTAGTTTCGTTTAGGATAACGCACTGTCATCCGCGATTTGGCTCTTATTGCCTGTCTTATACGTTAAATTTATATTTATATTACAGAGCCTTGTTAAACTCTTAAATTTATACACGCTGGCTTAAAGGCGTTTGTTTACCAACATTAATATATATAACAGAGAAAAGTATAGAATCGAAGGATCTGAATAGCTCAGCTGGAAGAGCAGTCGCCCGGCAAGCGAAAGGTCTCGGGTTCGATTCCCGATTCAGCGACTTTCGGATCTTATTTTTCTCTTGCATTCATTTATTTATTTTCCGTAGGGGGGTGAAAGGGGTATTGAAATTAAATCTCAAATATGAGATTATTTCATATTTAAAAAATCTTGGCCGTGTCAAAGTAAAAATTGGTGCCTTGTGCACGCGGTATTTAATCTAACGAAAAATAATTTAGTTTCGTTAGGATAACGCATTGTCATCCGCGATTTGGCTCTTATTGCCCGTCTTATACGTTAAATGTAATATTTATATTTATATAAATAATAATTAATATATTTAGTCTCAGGATATGAGTTAGCTATAGGAGCCAAGCGCAGTTAATGAGGCGCGTATTTTTCTAAAGGATTAATTAGGTTTTAATAATCATAAGAAATATATTTAATATACAAGACATTAAAGTGCGAACGTTTCGGCTCTTTCTTTGAGCCTTCTTCAGCGCATAGATATAAATAAATAGCAGTAATAATACATTAAAAAACAATTAAAAAAAAATAATGTTCAAGACGTGCGATCTTGTTTCGCTCCATAATATTCATTATGTTTCTTAACGATTGTCTCATTTTACTTCTTCTCTAGGTTGAAAAGCCCGGAAGGCAAAATGTGTGTTACGTATATATGTTCTTGCATCTATGAGAATATATTGTTTTAAACCTTTAAAATTTATGGAGTGAAATCAGTTCAATATAATAAAACTTATAAAAAAATTGACTTACATATATGTCGATTCTTATTTTATTTGCTTGAGATTATATTAAAGACAAGATTATATTAAATGTATTTCTTATGATTATTAAACCTAATTAATCCTTTAGAAAAAATACGCGCCTCATTAACTGCGCTTGGCTCCTATAGCTAACTCATATCCTGAGACTTAAATATATTAAAAATTAGCAGAGCCGTTTGATTGCTTATACGTATTCAATCAATTTTATTTATTAAATTATTATAATACAATTTTTATTATTATTATAATATTATTATTATTATTATAATATTATATATATATGGTTACAATTATGTTATATATTATAATTATTATAACACTATTTTTTTAATTATACAACATATATATTGTTATATTATATGTAGAAATATATTATAATATTATATAAATATATAAAGATATATATATATATATGTCTATTTCAGGTTACACGAAGAAAAGAAGAAATATCGGACGAAAAAGTAACACAGCGGCAAAAAATTTGCGCTATAAAAAGCAAAAACATGTTTATCAACAACAAACAACGAACAAACATTTAAGCAGCAAATCAACAATTGTCACTTAAACAAGCAATAGAATATTCTGCAACAATAAATACTGAAAAATATTTCACAAGATGCTACTAATGTACTTCTACCCAACAATCAAATATTACAAGCTACTGTGTTATCGATCCCTCAGGAAATTCCACAATCTGATATTAATACCCATAGAAAAAAGTTGTTACAACAATTTCATTTAACTATATCGTCTTTTGCGGATATTGCTTGTGATGTTTGTAAAAATTATGCTATAAAAAGCAGATATGTAATACGAAAATATCTGCTAAAACGATTGATATTTTTCCTACCAAATTACGCGAATTAAATGAAATTATAACATGTTTCCGTTGTGCTAATTTGATTAAAAAAGGCAAAGTTCCAACACAAGCATATTGGAATGCTATGTTTTTAGATGAAATTCCAGATGTTTTGCGAAATTTAAGTGATATGAAACAAAGACTTTTGTCAAGAATTGTTCCATTTATAAAAATTATTAAGTTAGGTGGACGATTTGGTCAATCTGGCTTTCGAGGACAAGCTATTTTATTTGCGCAAGATATAGAAGAAATATCGGAGCAATTACCATTACCAATTACAAGAATAGGCATGATTATTGTATGTAAACAACTTGAGAATGTTGAAAGATGCCGACAATTACAAATTAACGTGCAAAATTTATCAGCTGCTTTAGCGTGGTTAATCCAAAATAATCCATTATATCAAAACATTAATGTTAATTTTGACGTTGCAAATTTTGACATTTCACAAATATGTCAAATTATTGTAACACAAGATAATGATATGAATATTAATGTAAATAATGGCCCATCCACAGAGCAGACAATAAATAAGACAAATTTAATCGAAATAGCTGGGAATAGAGCAATAATCAGAGGTTCCATACATCAAGGTCATGAAATGTTTTCTGATACTACAAGAGGGAAACAGTGTACTGCAATTGCGGCGGTTGCTATAGCTATGTCTTCAATACATCAACTTCAAACTTGGACAAAAATCTCATTGATACCATTTTATTGATAGGAGATGCATTATATGTAACAAGTATATCGAAGCGTAAGAATCCTCATCTTGCTAAAATTAACAGGGATTTTTTATCAATAGATGAATTGCACACAGATATTGAAGTCTTTGGAAATATTATTACCCTTTTAATCACTCCGCAAAATAGCGTATCAGGGCATTTATATAATGACAATAGCAATGAAGGATTTCCTAATTTGAAAAATGCTTTAAATATTTTTTTTCGAGATCATAATTATGGTGTATTAACTGCTAATGGAATTTCTGTTTCTATATTTCAATTTGATAATAATTATTGGCTATTTGATTCACATTCAAGAGGTTCAAAAGGTAGACCAGCACAAAATGATACAGCATGTTTGATTCGATTTCCAGCTACGTTATCAATGTTTAATATGTTAAAAAGTATTTTTTACCAAAATTTTTGGATAATACTTTTAATAATCAGTATACCATTACTGCTGTTTATCCTCATATGCATTCTAATGAACAACAAAATCAAATACATAATACGTACATTGAAAATGTAGCAGAATTAAAGGAGAATGCTGCAGAATTGAATCCAAATGATGAGAATGCTGCAGAATTAAATTCTAATTATGCGAATGCTGCAGAATTAAATACAAATAATGATAATTATAATATTGTTATTATGTCTTCAGTTTTAAGGCCAGTTGATGAAACTATACCTGACGTTCAATCTGTTATTAAAAAAGAAGTACAAGATGCTCCCTTATACACATTGCGACGGAAAACTACAGAACCTGTACAGATGCATACTGAACTTCGAGCTGAAGAATTAGCTTGGTTTTTCCTTTTTCCAAAAAGACGAAATGGACTTCATGAACCATCAGGATTATATCCTATTACACCATTAGATTATTGTCAAGCTCGTATTATGTGTCAGGATCCTAGATTTCAACAAAATGATTACTTATTTTATTGTTTATCCGTCATGGAATATTACCGGGCTCGGCAAAATGTTGACGTCTGCCTTAGATTTAGACAAGGCAATAATATTCCTGAAGGCCTTGTACAAAATTTGCATATTAATATGAGAGCTTTGCGTGGTTCTAATGCATATTGGCAAACTGCATGTAGCGGTTTAATTGCTATGGTTCGCAACTTGGGCCCGCCACAATGGTTTTTAACGTTAAGTTGCAACGATTTTAATTGGAAAGATATATTGCAAGCATGTCTTATTGCAGCTCAAAGAAAAGGAGAGAATGTAGACAATTTAGAGTTTAATGAAAAACAACGATTAGTTGTTGAGCATCCCGTAGTATTATCTCGTCATTTTATGGTTCGTGTTCATGCAATGATGCGTGTATTGCTAAATGATGACACTTTATTAGGTGAGAAACTAATAGATTTCTGGTGGAGAATAGAATTTCAAAATAGAGGTAGTCTACATTTACATATGCTGTGCTGGAATGAAGGAATTCCATTATTTGAAGGCCCACAAGGTATAGCTCTTATTGACAAAATTGTATCCTGTACATCTTCTACGGGAGATGACGAATTAGATGCACTCATTGCACGCGTTCAAGTGCATAGACATAGTAATACATGTTACAAAGATAGACAACACGGACAATGCCGATTTGGTTTTCCAAGAAGAGTTAGTGATACAACTACCTTGCTTGGACCAGATGAAGCTATTCGTAATAATGGACGTTTCTGTATATTAAAACGTAATTCTACAGATGTATTTGTTAATAATTATAATCCTACACTTCTTAAATTATGGAATGGCAATATGGATTTGCAACCTTGTGGGAATGTTACAGGTATAGCTTATTATATAGCTAAATATGCAGCTAAACATGAATCTCATGATGTTGGTCAAGCAATTAAAGATGCAATCAGTAGAGTTCAGAGATACGGTGGAGATATAGGAAAGCAATTATTTGCTGTATCAATGACTATACTTCGACATAGACAGATATCTGCCTGTGAATGTGCATTTCGTTTATGCCATTTAAAATTACGTGATAGTTCACGAAAAGTTGTTTTTCTAAATACATGCTTTCCGCAAGAACGTTATCGTATGTTACGTTGTGATGGCTATATTAACAGTGTATATGCAAACTTATTTGATCGTTATTGTTTACGTCCGGAGAATTTAAACGATCTCAGTTTAGCTGAATTTGCTGTTACATATGAATGTGTATCACGATTTGACAATTATGAAGAAGATGGAGATATCGAAGTTTATAATCAAGAAAACGATGTAGTTTCAACTAAGTATATTCGTTTACAAGATGGTACAAAAATGAAACGGCGTACACGTCCTGCAGTGTTAAGAACACGATATTATACTCAAACTAGTAATCGTGAAGCATACTTTTATAGTTATTTAGTAGCTCATGTTCCTTTTAGAAATGAAGAAGAACTACTTGAGGGATATGAAACAGCAGAACAGGCATTTAATGCCAAGCGTCAACTACTACGACCTCTACGGAGAGGACAAAATATTGAGCAATTTCAATTTGTAGAACAAGAATTACAAGAAGTTATAGCTCAAATTGCAGCATTTGATGACGGCGATACAAATGCACAATCTACGGTAAGAAACGAAGATCGAGTACGTTCTATAATGGAGGAATATGATGAAAAAAATATTGATTTAGATTTACACGATGAACCTAACGAAGCAGATCGTGTCATATCTGCTGAAGAATTCGAACAAAATGTTAGAAATATGAATATAGAACAATCTAATTTGTTTCACACAATTACTGATCATATTAAACAAGATATTAAAGGTCAAATTAGTGAACCTTTACGATTATTCATTACAGGAGGAGCAGGATGTGGAAAAACATTTCTTTTAAAAATGATAGAACAACAGATTAAGCGATGTTATGCTCCTACTATTGATCTTTTATTGAAACCGACATTCGTTGAAGTGACTGCTCTTACTGGTGTTGCCGCTAGATTAATTAATGGACGTACCTTACATTGTGCGTTCTTTTTAGCAATAGATAATAAAATTTTTTACAAAAAAAAAAACTCCCGACTGCTGCCAACAAAGTTTTAATGTTTAAATTAGAAAATAAAAAAAAAAATAAAAAAAAAAAATAAAAAATAAAAAAATTAGAAAAAAATAAAAAAAAAATAAAAAACAATTAGAAAAAAATAAAAAAACAAAATTAGAAAATAAAAAATTAAAAATAAAAAAAAAAAAAAAAATAAAAAATAAAAAACAAAAATTAAAAGAAATAATAAAAAAAAAATTAGGAAATCAAATTAGAAAATAAAAAATTAAAATTAGAAAATAAAAAGTAAAAAAAAATAAAAAAAAAAAATTTCTTTATATGAAGCCGATAAAAATTATTTACAAAAAATTTAAAGTAAAACAAAACAAAAATTAAAAATAAAAATAAAATTAGAAAATAAATAAAAAATAAAAAACAAAATAAAGTAAAAAACAAAACAAAAATTAAAAATAATAAAAAAACAAAAAAATTATAAGTATAAAAATAAGCTTGTAAAAGTTTGAAATAATCACACATAAATAAAGTCTGTTGTTTATTGTATAATTTTTCTTATTTAAATTTATTGTTATCATACATATTTAGCGCTATATAATTTACAAAAATTTCAGATGTTTGAATTCAAAAATTTTTTTAATTATAATTATTATTATTAATTCTACAATTTACAGGAGCAGTCGGGAGACGCCGCGCTAAATTTGAGACATATACGCACGCGCACTATTTTATGTAATAAATAGACAAACACAAATATCGATACTCAACGGATGTTGACACACACTCATACACATGTACGCGCACGAAGTCACGCGCGCACATACGCACATATGTACGCACTCATGCGCGCAAACACGCGCATACGAACATATGAATACCCGCATTCATACACATACTGACATGCACTCACATACGCACACACGCATATGTATACTGACGCTGCGGAACACACACTTAGCGCGGCGTCTCCCAACTGCTCCTGTAAATTGTAAAATTAATAATAATAATTATAATTAAAAAAATTTTTTGAATTCAAAAATCTGAAATTTTTGTAAATTATATAGCGCTAAATATGTATGATAACAATAAATTTAAATAAGAAAAATTATATAATAAACAACAGATTTTATTTATGTGTGATTATTTCAAACTTTTACAAGCTTATTTTTTATACTTATAATTTTTTTGTTCTTTTATTATTTTTAATTTTTGTTTTGTTTTTTACTTTAATTTTGTTTTTTATTTTTTATTTATTTTCTAATTTTTATTTTTATTTTTAATTTTTGTTTTGTTTTACTTTAAATTTTTTGTTTTTTATTTTTTATTTTTTATTTTTTATTTTCTAATTTTTAATTTTTTATTTTCTAATTTGATTTTCTAATTTTTATTTTATTATTTATTTTCTAATTGTTTTTTATTTTTTTTTTTATTATTTATTTTCTAATTGTTTTTTATTTTTTATTTTTTTTTCTAATTGTTTTTTATTTTTTATTTTTTATTTTCTAATTTTTTTATTATTTTTTACATTATAAATGTTGATAAAAATTCAAGTTGTGAACTTTGACTTCGGAATCGAGCAAATTCAATCGAAGATAGTATCGACAATTTATCATTTGATCGAATATCTGATTGATAAGAAATAAACATAATCGGAGATTTTCCTTTCCTTCCCCTTTGATGACGCGATAAATTGAACCAATATATTGATCAATTTAAAAAAATTATTCTTATTAGTTTGATGAATAATTATTTTATTCATAAAATAGATTGCAAAAATAAAATCTTGGGCTTTTTTGTACGTGGATTTCATTCTAATGTTACAGGCAGTGTAGGTACATTTGAAAATCTATATTTATAATTGTGCAAAAAATTATATATATATATATATATATATATATATATATATATAATTTTATCTTCATATATATATATAATTTTTTGCACAATTATAAATATAGATTTTCAAATGTGCCTACACTGCCCGTAGCATTAGAATGATATCCACGTACAAAAAAGCCCAAGATTTTATTTTTGCAATCTATTTATGAATAAAATAATTATTCATCAAACTAATAAGAATAATTTTTTTAAATTGATCAATATATTGGTTCATATTATCGCGTCATCAAAGGGGAAGGAAAGGAAAATCTCCGATTATGTTTATTTCTTATCAATCAGATATTCGATCAAATGATAAATTGTCGATACTATCTTCGATTGAATTTGCTCGATTCCGAAGTCAAAGTTCACAACTTGAATTTTTATCAACATTTATAATGTAAAATTGTAAAATATAACTAATTTTCTTATCGTGCAAAGTCAATCAAAGATTAGATTGACAATTACAAAACAAAAGCATATGATTTTTCGAATATTTTTAATTATGATTGACAAATAAACGTAATCGGAGATTTTCCTTCTTTCCTCTTTGATGACGATAAATTAAACCAATACACAGATCAATTTAAAAATATTCTTATTACATATTCTTGTTATAATTTTATTAGTTTCATGAATAAATTATTTTATTCAAAAAAATTGCAAAATTATAAGTCCTGGGCCCTGTTCAGGGATTATCAACCTGGTGCTGTCGGCAATGCTGAATATATATATAAATATATATATATATATATAGAAACGTTTTGGATGTACGTTCTGGTTAAATTTTATTCAGAGGCGATCTATTCGTTTGCTGATAACTGTACAAAATATTTTACCCCAGATGCAGTTTGCATGTGCGCAAAATTCTCAGAAGCGATATTGCAATGTTGAAACTTTATAACTTATCATGTGATAGTGACTTTCACGTAATCTTTATGACTGTGCAAGGTCAACACTAATGGTACTATTTTATGGTTCCTTTGAAACCGTACAACTTTTGTTGTTTTATTATAAAATGCATTGAAACAAAGAGATATTAGGGGTAGTAAAAATGGGACACCTTGTATAAATACACACACGCATACATATGTGTATATGTATGTGTAACAACCTGTGTATATATAATTTTTATATAATTATAAATTATATAAAATGGGACACCCTGTATATGTATGTGTGTGTCGATTGACAACTTTTTTATTGCGACATCTGTCGAGTTTTGTCGATAATTATATTTAAAAAATCTTCATTATCGACCCTATCGGAGTTCGCCCGTGCATTTAGGATCCCCTTAATACACGTACTCAGAATCCCTTTCCTATTCCACATTATTACCAATTTTCTTTCAGTATCGTTTAATTATAATTATAATTGAAACAAGCTTAACTAATTAACAGGTGAAGGGCACTCCCGTAAAGATTAACCTTTCATCTCATCTCTATTTCATTAACAAGTAGATCACGACTTAAACGTGAGTCATACTCGATTACTTTTGATTATTTAATTCTCTCAGTTTATAAAACGTATTATTCATATAAATTTATTTAACCATTAGATGGTCTCTCCCTTCCAAAGGAAGAATCAAATTGATCGTAACGAGCAACGTCTCCATAGACTACGCGAACGTAGGACAAGGAGAATCTTAAACTTACATATCCAAATCTTTCCTACGCGAGTAATCGTTCGACCCTCTTCTCCCAACGTTTATTCACCTATAAATAACCTTCCACCTTATATCGATTATTCTCATCCGCAATTTCCGGATCTGTCGCATTCAGAACCTAATACGTTCGGAACAGACTCAAATAATCATTTCTTCTCCGATCCCGAGTATTATATCCCAGATCAAAGCCAACAAATTGTATCGTCAGAATACGATCCTTTCTTATAATTTAACCACGAACAAAACTTTAATATTCTTGACGAGGACACCGTGAACCTCACATCCGACGACACTCGTAACTTCGTCTCAGAAGAAGCTCAGGACGACTTCGCTTCTTTTATTACTTACCTTAATCAGCCTAACAATTCTGAACAGGAACTCAGTAATATTGTAACTCAATTTCAAGCCCCCCCACGAATCACGTCAGGACCAATAAACTTTATATCGACGTAAAGGTTTTATAAATAAATAAATGACATTATACTTGTAAAATATCTTTATTTATCGACCCGACCCGTCAGTTTCCTTCTCTGTCCGATACTCTCAATCGAATCTCAAGCTCTCGGCTTCCCTGGGTATAGCCGGCCTAGCAGGTTGCCCATAAAACAAATAGAGAGCAGCTTCTTAAACGTCCACCGAGGTAGACGCGAGAGAAGACCGACTTGTGCAGAAGGTAATTTGCCGCCAGGTGAATTATTGGACGTAACACAGTGTTCTTTTTTGTGATCGCGAGCTTAGAAACGAATAATTGTTTTGTACGACGCTTGATACACAATCAGGCGTTCGATAAGTGATCAATTGTCAAATGTAAATTTGCTGCGCGTACAGCAAACGCTTTCGATTCTCATATCGAGTTTTTTTCTTTGGTTTGTTTGTGTCAAGTCCAGGTGACTTTCAGACGTGTGATATAATAAATTGATCTGTTTTGTTCATCAAACTCAAGACTCCTTTTCAATTCGGCCTCTTGCGTAAATCATCAATCTCAGCGCACACATGGGTGCGCGATCACCCTATTAAGATACAGTCCACTCAACAATTATCCTATTGTCCATCTCTCATGAGATTCCTATGATTTCTTTCCAATAAAAAAAAAAGGGTGAAGGATCTGAAAGGCGGTGCGCGAGACGCGGCCCTAAAAAGGCCGAGCATGCTCGTTCGTCGCAGCTTCGTGTCGGACCACGGTTCATGCCGCGCGTACGCAACATTTGGTCCTTCGAGCCAGATATGAGATTGGTGACAAATTGAAAAGTGAAAAACTTAAGTAAAAAACACAGTGACATTGCAAGTACATTCAAAATCGGACATCATCAAACGCTATCAGTGCATTCAAACAGAGTGACAGTTCTGTTCGTAAAAGACTAATTTGATTAAATTCAGTGTCGTTGAAACCTCATTTGATTAAATTCAGTGTCAAAATG